ATGTCCTGTCATCAATGCTAAAGACCCCTTCTTTTTATAAGAAGGGGTCTCCCTCTCTGTCCGATTCCCTGTTACCCTGTAAGACAGTTTTCTTCTCCAAACAGAGCAACGTCTCTGACAGCGCTGTATTTTGGCTCCTTTCAGTTAATTTTTTGCCTGTCCGGTGTTGGATTTCGACAGGTGCTGACACTCCTTTCATCTCATCCCCAGAACAGCAGTGAACATCCAGGAAAAGCTGGGCGTTTGAAAAAGAAATGAAACAAATCTCTCAAGGATCAGGGCTTTCACCCAAACAAAACCCTGAACTGGATGAACTCGGCGTTCGACGTCAGCGCTGTCTCAACTTGCTTAAGACCTCAGTCTCTTGACACATCATCATCATCCTCGCTTGATTCACTTCAGCCATTTTTACAAAGCGAGCCACTCTGACTTGTCAGCTGAGAGTGCAGAGACACGTTGAGCTGATCCAGACGAGGCGTTCCCTCTCAGTCAGGTTCCTGTGGAAACAGGAGGCCGTAACAAAAACCATCACCACCACAAGCTCTTTGTTTTCCTGTTAAACCACCAGGCCCAGACCCTCATTAAATCATATTACCTTACAAGAATTGGATTGTCAGAGAATATTCATATTTGTTTGATTTAATGCATTTCTGATAAAATCTCTTTTTGTATGCTCACAATATAAAGCTCACCTGTCCTATATTTTAATCTTACCTTAATTTCTCTCATTTATTTCCAATGTTTTACAGAGTTTTGTTTTATTTGCTTGTATTTTATCCTTTTTAATAACAAGAAATATATATATATATGATTATTTGCATATTTACATTCGGTTGTTTCTAAACTGGACACTTTTCAATAAAATGATCTGTTACATTAAAAATAAAAAGACAGTTAAATTTCGGTTTTTTAGTTCATTTTGAATGTCACTAGTTGAATGAACCCTCCATTATAAGCTCACTCGGTCCTTCCCCTCTTTGCTTCAGGTCATTTCTGTGAACGTTTGAATGGATCTTTAAACACGATCTGAGAACATGCCAGGTTACATAAAGTGTGAGGTCAAAACATTGAGGTGGAGAAACAGATATCACCTGGAATGTACCTTGTGTCACCCAGAGTCATTCCTCAGATGTGATAAGTTCTTAAAGGTTTTTTGGTCAGATAATCTTAAAGATTTTAAAACAGAACAAAAACCTTTAAAATATAAAGTCACTCTGTGAGGCTGTGAGTGGACAATTTTTTTTATCAGAACATGTGCAGATCAAGTGACAGATGACTAAAATATATAAATATATACTTAGAAATGGTTTACACCTAATAT